CCTTAGTTATAAGAGGGACACTGCTGGTCACCTGCAGCTAGGCCTCATGAAGGAGGCAGGGAAGTAACAGAGCTTTGAGCTATACCTGTCCCGCTGGAGGAGGTCTGCGTGAGGTCTGTGCTGCTGTCGCGAGAGGGAGACGCTTGCTGTGGGGCCTGGTGCACCTGAATAGCCTGCACTGGGACCTGCTGGGCCACTGCCCCACCTATAAGACACAGAGACTTACTTATGCTCTGTCATACCCAGCCACCACCTACACCCTCAAACACCCCCATGCCCAGGGTCTGGCACACTGCTCCCCGATTCCCATTGCTATCTTTCCTGGGAGCCAAAAGGAGCCCTTTGGTCCTGAATATTCTCTCCAGGGGCTCCTACACTCTGCTCTTGCCCTTCCCACCTCCTCATGCCCCAGGCCTTACCTTTGCCCTCTTCAGGGAGCTGGCACTGACCCATCAAGGACATGATCTGCCCTCCAGTCAAGGTAGGGAAGTGGTAGAATGTCTACTACTGTCCCTGTGGCAATGGGGGGCACAGAGCTGGGCTGGCTAGACAAGATATGGTTGAAACTTACTGACAAGGAGTACAGGTTGGGAGGGGCATGCTGCCAATGGGACGTAAGAGGCTTCTCTCAGGCTCTGGCCCCTGTTCACCCTCCTTCTGAGCAGGGGAAGAGGTTCCCCTTGTGCCAGCCCTAAACCCACTCTTCACATGCTCAATTTGCCCCATGTGACTCACCAGGCATGAGGGTGAAGCTGGTAGGCAGCTGCATGAGGCCCCCAGAGGAGACAGGGCCACTGCCTGTACTCTTCAGCACAGTCCCGTTGGCACTGCTGACAGCGCTGGGGCTGACACTAGCAGACACTGGTGCCAGGTAATTGGTGATGGGGAAGGAGGGACCGCTGCTGACTTGCATGGTGGTAGAGGTGCTGGGCGCTGTTTGGATGGTGGAGGTGGTACCCGGCAGGTTGGTGACTGTGAACACCGGTTTCAGTGAGTCCTATATCCAGAGTAGAGATGGAGCGGTGAGTCTCTGCCAGACCCTGCCCCTGCAGAAGCTTAGGGTGGACTGACAGCTCAGACTTGAACCAGGGTGCTTGGGTTCAACTTTCAACTCTGCCATTACCTGCTGCCTGGCCCTCCGGCAAGCTATTGAGCTGCTGAGCTCCAGTTTCTTGTCTGTAAAAGGATAATACCTACCACATATGTGTTGTGAAGAATAAACAGGTTAACATATGTAAAGCATTTACAACAGTGCCTGGCACATAAAAAGAGCAGTGAGTATTTGCTGCTTTTATGAGGATGATGATAATGTCATCATCATAATTCCCCGAGTTCTTTCCCTCAGTGGACTGTGGCAATCACATTGGTTGGGGAATCAGGACACCCAGGGTCTGTTCCCAGCTCTGGCAATGACTATGCGTGTGATCCTGGGAAAATTACTCCTCTTTTCTGAGCCTCAGTTTTCCTCTTCTGTAAACATGAGGGGGCTAAGCTACTATGCCCTCTTTAAAAGGGTCCTTCTAGCTCAGATTTGCCAGCCTTCTTAGATAGGGACCAAGAGTTTCTCAAGGAACTTAGGGCTTGAGAGACATCTTAGGGGGTTGGCAGTGAAGCACTTTATGCCAAATACTGAAGATTTAAACTATCAAAGGAATTTATTCATCCATCAAAATTTCCTGGGTATAGATGAGCCCTACTGCAAAGAGTTTGAAAATTATCATAGATGATAGGGCACTTACAGGAGAGAGTCTAGAGCACTGACTTTCCCCTCAGGGAGCCTTTGTTCTTAGGAGGAGGAGGAAGCCAGGAGCTGAGAACCAAGCCCAAAGGACTGAGGGGGCTCAAATACTGGGGGGTGGGTCAACGCGGGATGTTTGCAAAGCAGGCGAGCTTGAAGCCCCTGATTGGCAGAGGCGTTGCTAAGGCAAACAGTGCCGCGTCCTCCAATTGGCCAGTTAGTGAAGGGCCACCCGGAAGGTGGAGCTCCCCAGAGGAGCTGGGGAGGAAGCCCCGCCCCCTCGCCTTACCGGGAAAAGGAAGGGGGAGGCGTAACTAGGGCCGGCATCCCTAGCAGCTGGGAATACACTCCCTAACGTGCCCAGGCCCGGACATCCTGAAGTGGTAGGCGGTTGTCTAGTAAGGTAGTCTGCAGCCCAGTCAGCCAGCCCTCCTGCCGACTGTGCTGGGTTTCTTGGACCCTGGGACCCAGGAGTGCTCACTTCCTAGTCCCCAGTGACCCGGCCTGCCAGGAGGGCAGGGCTAAGCTACGCCCCCGCCCCCAGCGGGGAGACAGCTGGCGGGAGGAATGCAAGGGCCCTGCCAGGCAGGCGGGCTGCAGGCAGGAGGCCGGCGTGGAGCCGGAGCCGGCCTTATATGGGCACGGAGGCCGCCCGCTTATCTAGGGGGCCAGCCTCCTGTCAGGATAGCGAGAATGGACACCTGTCCCCTCGGATGAGGGGTACTAACCGCGCTGCAATCCACATCAGTGGGCACCTATCACCTGTCCTTGGTGAGGGAGAGAGACCCCCTCCCCTCCCCTCTGCCAGTCAAGTCCCTCCCCTTCCTTCCCCTCTGATAGGGAACCTAAACACACCTTGGTCTCCCCACTGCTGTCGGACTCAGACACCTGGTAGGTGAGGTCTGTCTCTTCAAAGCCCGTGGCACTCATTCGCTGGTCTGTGGTGGGGTCTGAGCGGGGTGGCGAGTCTGGCGAGTTGAGGCAGGTCTGAATCAGTGCCTTGCCAGTCTCACTGGTGATCATGGGCTGCAGTTTGCGGGTGGCAAAGGTATACACATGGCCTGTCTCACTGGCCACCAGCAACAGCACCTGTGTCCCTGTCAGCGTGGACAGCTCATAGGCCTGGGGGTAGGGGGGAGGAGATGGGTAGGTCAGCAAAACTCCTTTACCTCTACCTTCCTTGGGAAATAGGAAAGAGAGGAAATACACAGTGATTTCAAGCCCCCACTACCATAATGACCTTCCTCTCCAGTGATTGGGGGGAGGGGGGAGTGTCTTATCAGGATATCTGAAAGTAAGATGGAGAGCAGAAAACCCCATGCTCCTCTGAGGAGCAGCTCCTGCAGATACCCCAAGCAAACAGTCAAGGCCCCCTCATGACATCTAACCGCAGGGGACACAGAGAGACCCAGGTTAGCTGCTCCTTACTGCAACTTGGTGCCCTCACAGAGAGAAGGCTTCCATCCCCTCCTGTCACAGGGACCAGGATGAACTTACTACTATACTGGAATTCACATAAGACATTAGGGATAAAGGGCCACCCAAGCTCTAAAATGCCCCATTTCTTCCCAGAAACTGCACAGGTACTAACCTGTTGCCATTTTGTCCTTCTGCCCTATCATACTATGCTACCCTTTTTGTTTTTTCCTTCCTTTGTCTTGATACAAGTGTCTGGAGTGATGGGAGATGGGGGCTACATTAGCAGCTACTACTCTGCCTTGGGCCCAGGAAGGGGACCTTCAAGGATGGCCCCATAGATGGCATCCTCATTCCCAACAAAGTTCCTCAACCCACCTTGGAAGCAGCTCTGATTTCTATATGGAACAGCTATAAACACCAGCCAATGTTTCCAGGGTTCTAGCTTTTTGTTTCCCAGTTCCTTTGCTTCCACCCCTTCCCATATCTTATACACCCCAAGACAACTCTTTTCCTCATCCCTTTTCATTGGATAATCGGCTATAAGAGGAGGATTTCTAGATACCTCAGCAAACTCCCTGCCTTCCCACCAAACTCCATGCACCAGTTCTCCCTAGGGCTGGAAATCCCACTTGTCAGAAAGACAGATGTTTCCGAAGCCTGTCCTGCAGGGAGGGTGCTGGCTTCCAGTGGATGCATGGAAGACACATGGCCATGGCAGGACTTGGCTTGGTACCTGCTGCTCAAGGCAGCATCAGTTATCCTGCCTTGCTCCCTCACCTGGGGCTCTTGAGCCCCATTCGGTCACCAGCCCTGCCTGTCCTTCCAGCCAGCACTTCAGTAGTGCCCACCTTCCTCCCACACATGCTCGCTCATTGTTGTTACACAGCTCCAGCCTCCTCACCTCCATACCTTTTCTTCTGCTCCCTGCTTTTCCAGCTCCCTTCCCGGAACACCAGAGCCCACTGGACCTACTGACCCAGGGGTTTCGTTAACCACCCCCCGGGGCAGCCTCGCAGTCTCCCATTACCATTCCTTCACTCTGCAAGGGCTCTGTTCCTCTCTCGGGCCCGTCACTCCCACCTTGGCGCCTTTCCCCTCTTCTCCGGACGTTAGCAGCATCTCCCCTCTCCCCACATTTCCCTGGCGGCCCCTCCCCTTTCACCCTACAGGGGTAACAGCCATCCCCTCCCACACACCTCCTGCGGACTCGCCGCCTCTCACCTCCGCTTCGGCTCTGCCTTCCTCCCCGGCTCCCCCTGCGAGTCCCCACCCTCCCGGTCCCCCGTGGTCGGCCAGCCTCCCGGTCCGGTACCTTCTTCATGATGCCCGTCTTCCTCTTGCTGAAGGTCGTGTAGCGCCGCAGCTTGTTGTCGATGAACTCCATCTTGATCTTCACGCGGCCCCTAGTCTTCTTACCAGGCTTGGCCCCGCTCACCGCGCCGCTCACCGGCCCATAGCCCCCGGTGGCCGCCGCCGCCGCCTCGGGCCCACTGACCACCATGCCGATCTCCATCTCGCCCAGGCTTCGCTTCAGGCCGCGCCGTTCCGCGCCCAGCTCCTCCTCCTCGCCCGACTCCGAGTCGCCCTCGCTGCCGCTGTAGAGGGCCCCCGCGGTGGGCGCCGGGGTGGTTGTCGCTGCTACTGCAGCCTCCCGCTCGAAGCGACCCGGCCCGAGCCCCGCGCCGTTGCCGGGGACCCGGCCCCCATTAGCCCCGCGAGTCCCGCCGCCGCCGCCGCCACCTCCACCGGCCGGCCGCCCCGTCGGGGTCCGGTTCAGGCTGCCCCCCAGGGCTGAGCCCCGGCCCAGCGCCGCCGCGGCCCCAGCTTGGCTCGGTAACATGGCGCTCAATGCAGGAGGGCGGACGGGCAGTCAGCGAGGAATCGGAGCCGCCGCCGCCGCCGCCATCGGCTTCCCGGCTCAACCCGGCGCTCCCGCTGCTGCTAGTGCTGCTATCGCTGCCGCCGCCGCCGCCGCTGCGAACCCGGGGCCCCTGCACGCCCCGGCCGACCTGGGCCCTCACTTTCCTGCTCCTGTGGCCCGGGTTGCCCCAGGCTGCGCGGAGCGCCCCCTGTCCGTATGCTACGGCGGCGCGCCCGGCGGCCGTCAGCGTCCCCCCGGGGGCAGAGGCTGCTGGCCGCGGCGGGGACCGCGGGTGGAGGGGGCCGGGACCACGCGCAGGCGGCAAGGGATCCCCCGACCCTTCCCCCCATATAAAGAGATACAATGTTTCCTTTTATGGCGAGGCCGCTCCTTATATGGTGAGCCCCTGCGTTCCCGCCCCATTGGTCCGCTGTTCCGGCAACTCCGCTCCCTATTGGGCCACAGGGGGCGCCTATTTGCATAGACATACCGAACTTGTTGCAGTCATCCCGCGTCAGACGGCGACTCCGAAAGGGGAGGAGCCGACGCCTCTTAAAGGAACAGGAGAGGAGGTATGACTCCGCCTCCCTGACCAGAGAGAATTGGGAGGGATCTGTGGAGAGGAAGCCTGGGAGGAGACTGGAACGCAATCTTGCGGAGACGAGGGAGCAGCACTGGAAAGTCGGCATTGGAACGGTTGGAAGCAAACGCTGGGGTAGTTCCTGAGTGGAATGTGCGGACTGCAGTAAATGATATAATACAGCCCAAATTCCAAGGGAATGCGGGGATTGGAGCACTTACCTACTCCTTCCTGAAGGAGGCAAAGTTACGGGCCGAGTAGTGGGGGCTTGGGTCCTTGGTGTCCAGACTCGTCGCGCCCCCGCCACTCGGCTCCAACCCTTCCCCTCCCCCCGACTTCCTTTCCTTTTCCCTCTCTTTTCAAGGCGACGACACTTTCCCACCAGGCCGGCTCCCCGGTCCTCATTCATCATCCTCTATACTGGGAAGGCCTCTGGCAGACGTACATCTGGAAAAGACCGGAGAGACAGTCGGCCTCCCCGTCCCAGTTGGGGGAAGGGAGGAGATGGAGATTAGTGAAGACTTCCAGCTGCGGGCTGGGCTGGGGGAGGGGGTGGTTCCAGGGATAAAGCCCACCCCCCAGTCGGTGCAAAGGTCTGAGAAAAAGTGTAGCCGAGCAGAAAGTTCAAGCAAGCGCAAACACTCACGCGCGCGCCCTTCTCTGGAAAGCCAAGGGGAGCCCATAGGAGAAAAAAAAATAGGGTGCTGCAAAGGCCAGGTTCAGGGTCTGGGTCTGGATCTGAGTTCCAAGTCAGTGAAAATAGCTTGGGCTTTGCTCATACAGAAATTATTCAAATCTGGACTCTGCCTCTTCCTAGCCCTGTGCTGGAAACAAGTGTTTGACCTCTCCAAACTCCATGTTCCTCATTGTTGGTACCCATCGCATGAGATTCTTAAGGCAGATTAAATGAGATAAAAACTAAAACGCGGAATATATGTAAGTGGTCAGTGAATAGTTAATAGGAGCTGCCTAGGACAATCACCTCATCCCTGGGATAAACGTCCTCTGGTGTTTAATAGGATGGGAGAGGGTGATGATTCCTACCTTAAAAGTTGTTGGGAAGTGAAAACAATTTAGTGCACTGCAGCCAGCATTTAAAATAATGGGTATCACAAAAAGCAAGCGTAAATATTATTGCATAAAAATTGTTTGAATTATTTCTAGGTAAACCATATAAAATTTCCATTTTATAGGTAAAGAGGGTGAGATAGTGTAGATTTCACATGGTTCAATGTGTATATGTACTGGATGACAATATCAACTGCCTATTTTACTGTGAGTCACAATCCAAAGACTGAGAAATATTGAAATAAAGTATGTTCAAGTGATTTGTTGATATAATGTGTGTATCTACATACACACTTATATTAAAAATGGGCTCATTCATTAAACTCTTTAAGAGCCCTCCTCTTCCCCATTTCCTACCAGTCTTAAAGAGTTTTTTTCTTTTCCTAATTTAGTCCACACAACAGGTAGTTAAACATATGGAATGTGTTAGCTCAAGAGGAAGAACAGGTCAAATAGATAAATAGGTTCCAGAAGGGCTTCAGGGGCCACAGACAGTTCTTGGGACCGTGATTTGTCTGAACAGCACGGTCTTATTATACAACCACAGCCCTGGGCTCCATTCTTGCCTGGCTTCTGAAGACTTTTACGTGAGACCCCCAGCTTAGACACCCTCAGCCATGGCACCCCAGGGGACAACTGCTGCCCGCTGCATCCACAGTAGAGAACAGTTCTGTTTCCCTTCAGTTAGGCTGTTCTGATTTCACCCAACCCTTGGGCCATTGCACACCAGTGTTAGCGCCACAGCACCTTCACCTGCTTGGGATGGCATCTTCACAGCCCTTTGTCACCACTGGGTGGTGGGGGAGGGGAGGGGACCTATATATACCCACACTATATTGGATCACTACGGTTCAGGAGCCAAAATTATTGGATGTGGATAAGTCAAAATCAGAAACTGGTTCATAGATGTTTTGTTTGGACCATATAATATCTTTAAATCAGGAGATTTTACATAAAAATCTGAATATCCAGCCTCTCTCCAAAAAATCGAAATTTTTAGCAACTCCAGGCCTGGGTGCCCACATTACTACAGCCTACAGCCGAGTCGAATGGTGGTCATAGGAGAGGCATCTGTTCTCAGGTTCACTAGACTCCCTACAGCCCACTGAGCTCAGATAAGTCCCCTGCCTGGCCTCTCTGGAATGCGAGTTTGGTGCTTCTCAGATAAGGCCTTAAATCACAGTCGTCCCCTGGAAGATGGGAGCTCACATCCACCCCAGACCATGAACAACCTTCAGAAGGGCACCAGGATTCCAGCCAGATTCCCTCCTACCACACCATTCCCACCCTGACCTTGCTTTCTTTCTCCTGATTGTTATCACCTAAATAATAGCAGAACAAAAATTACGGGGTTGCTTTAAAACATTACTATAAAAAATTACTAACACTCTAAAACTATTTTCATTTGGAGGTAACCTTTATGCAGTTATTCTTAACTTCGCATAGAAGAGCTCTCAACTGTGATAGCAGCATTAGAGGGAATAGAAAGGAAAAGGGGTCATGAATCAGTATGCCTAGGGAAAATCTGGAAAGCCATGCTCCAGACACGAATAGTGGTAAGCAGCCCCTGGAGAGGAGTTTGGGGACTAGAGGAGTGTGTTTTTTTGCTTTATAGAAGTCTGTACCATTTGACGTCTTCCATGATCAGTATTACTTTCATACATTTTTTTTTACGCAAAATTAGAAACAAGGCAGAGGTAAAATAAATGGATCTTGGTGACCGGCTGCATGGGGAGCGGGATAAACAAAGAAGACTCATGATGGATTGAGATTTTGAGTAAAGGTGACTATCCTCCACTAGTAACATTAATGGAAAGAGGGAACTTGGCTAGGGGAACAAGATTGAGAGAGCGAGAGTGAGAGCGAGAGAGAAATTCAGGCTGGGTCCAGGGGAACAAGCAGTGGAAAATGTCCTGTAGGAAGTGGGGAGTGTGTGTCTGGAGCTTGAAGTGGAGGCTAAAATTGCAGCTAATACTTGGGGAAGGAACTAGCCACACTAAAGGGCCAATTAAAGCCACGTGAGGTGAGATGAGACTCTTGCAGTGGACAATGTAGAAAGGAAGGCCAAGGACAGGATTCAGGAGAACAGCAATCTCTGGGGCCGGCAGAAGAAGGAAGTTTCAGCTGGGGCTGGGAAAGGCCTGGTCAGAGAACAGGAAAACAGCATACCATCACCCAAGTCAACAGAGGAGTCTGAAAAGGCAGATGTGGCCAGCAGCGTTGGCTGCTGCAGTGTGGTCAAGGAAGACCATGAATGAGAAAAGGATTAGGGATTAATGACCTTCTAAAGCTTTGCCTCCCCAATACTTACTTCCAGGTGCAACCCATGTTAAAAAACCATTGTTACATCGCAACCCGTGGTGAATTCAATTTTTGCTCCCAATTCTTCACACTCTGTGTTGGAATCAGCCAGCCACATCCTTTGCCATGTGACTTTGCAGAACCTACTACTGCTGTTGCTGAGTTTTGACATGTGACATACTTTGGCCAATAAAATGTTAACAGACTTGTGGTTTTAAATGTGCTTGCGTGATTAGGCTTGACCTCTTGTGCTCCTGCCACTGCATGAGAGCATGCTCTGAGACCAGCAGAATACACCCAAACTAGTCCTACAGCCTGGAGGAAACCCCCAGCTGAACTCAGCGAGGCCCTGCCAAGATCAGCAGAACCTCACCAATCTGCAGATTTATGATAGAGAAAAATAAATTGTTGCAAGTGACTGAGATTTGGGGGTTATTATACAGAATCACCAACCCAATTGCTAATGTGTAACCCAGTATAAGCAAACATGTATCAAATGTTACCAACAACTTTTGTAAAAGAACACTTACCTTTAAGGTATACAATGTACTCAGTTTCCATCATGTTTCATATTTTTAAAACCCAGTTTGGAAAACACTGCTCTAGAGAAATTGTTTCTTTGTGTGTTTTTTTTCACTCCAACAAACCTGAAGGATGTAACACACTGTTTTTATCAAGTAAGCGGCTCAATTACTAGCTGTGTCACATTGGGGAAACTACCTGTCCTCCCTGAACCTGTTTCCTAACCTGTGAAATGAGAACAATTAACATCAGGCTAACAGAGTAGTCACGGAGATTACGTGAGAGAATGCATGTTAAGTGCTTAGCAAAGTGACTGGGACAAAGCAGCCAATAAATATTAGCTGTTATTTTCATTACTGAGAAGTTTGGTGAGACACAGAATGAATTAGAGCAATTTCAGAGTTAAGAAATCATTTCTTCAGGTTGGAGAACCGGGCTGAAGTTACTGGAATATGGTGATGTCACAAAGTCTAGGTAACTGAGTGGCAGGAATCAAACCAGTTGAGGGTCTGGGAGCAATGAGGCATTAGCGTCATCCCTTTGCTCCATATTATCCACTCCATCTTCCTCCTCAAGCCTTAAAGGGATTCAGAGACCTGAATCTGTCATCAACTACTCCTCCAGTCCTACTCTAACTTGTCCCTCCTCACACTTCCACCCTCCCCACCTGAGCGCGAAGACTAGGCTAGTAGCCAGCAGTAAGTAAGTAGTTGGCAGTCCGAAGCAACACAGGGTCCCATGGACAAGAGGTGGCCTTGCCTCCTGAGCCCACATTCTCAGCTGCTCCACGAACCAGAGAGAAGGACCCGTGTCGGCCAGTTATTCCCATCCAAGCCCCACCTGACTCTGTGAAGGCACATGGCCCTTCTGAATATGGGGGAAGACGGGACATGATTCAAGGGCAACGGCAGGGAATGAACATCAGAACCAAGTTGTAAAAAAGGCTTCTTTATTGAGAGCAGCGAGTGTAAAAAAAACAACAAAAAAACCCCAAAACAAACAAACAAACAACAACAACAACAACAATAAAGGTGTGAGGCAGGGCTGGCCCCCCTCCCCATCTCCTCCAGGGCCCACCCCTCCCTCCCATGCCCACCCACCCCACGCTGCAAGTACATACAAAAGCCGCCCATGGTGCATACAAAAAGGGCGGGTTATATAGTGTCAAAAGCTCCTGAAAACTCCTTCATCTGCCAGGCACTTAGGATGAGGAAAGGAGAGAAGGGTGGGGAGGGGGCATGGGCCTGGGTCAGCGTGCACAAGTCCATGCAGGGAGGGTTCATTGGCTGTGTCCTCCGTGATCCTGGCACAGACCCCGAGGTGGGCCTCGTGGGCCAGAACTACCCAGGAATTTGAGATTATTAGGGAACACCTCAAACCCTGCTCATCTTCAGCCTAGCCCTCCCTGGGCAAAGTTGGTAGATGAATGGCAGAACTGGACCTGGTCAAGGGGAGGAAGCCCAGGCCAGAAACTGGGGGTTACCTGAGGCATCCACATTGTCCCTGATGGGGGGAGCGGTGGCAAAGAAAGCTGCCCAGCCCAAGGCTCTAGTCACCCCATCTGGGTCCCAATCGGCCTCCCCAAAGGCTGAGAGTGAGGAAGAGGAGGAAAGCCCAGGCCCTGCCCAGACCTCAGCAGTGCCTGTGGTGCCAGGGTGGGGGCCCTAGGGCCAAGGAGGACAGGGATCTGGCCCATCATGCTGCGGGCACCCCTCAAGAGGTCCTCCCCTGCCCGTGCCATCCTGAGACACAGGCTGCCTGGGTTCCCTCCTCACGGCTTGCTGTCTGCAGGGCTGTCTCCCAGGGTGTTGGCAATCTCACTGAAGGAGGGTCGGTCCTTGGGGCTGACGGCCCAGCAGCGCTGCATCAGCCGGTAGAGCTTGGATGGGCAGCCCTCAGGCTGTGGAAGCTTGGCCTTCCCAGCCTGCAAGTCTGCAGGAAGATGGTGCGAGGAGTTAGTCAAAACTTTTAACCACCTGTCCAGTGGTCTGTGGAGCCTGCAGTTCCCATAAACAGCCACAGGAGGACGACTTGGGGCGGGGTCACAGGCCAGTGGTAGGTGCGCACTGACTCAAGGAGTGAGTATACCCGGAGCTATCTTACCACCAAACTGGGTAACTCCCCTGGCCCCAGCTCGCTTGGACTGGTTGGGGCAGGGTTCACACAGAACAGGAGGCAGCCAATGCATGGGGGCAAGGGCTATTTACCAACCAGTGTGAAGGCATTTCAGTATTCCAAGAACTGGAGTGGCCCTATCTCTGTCCCTGCTAATACCAGCCTCGAGCGGGGAGGCAGGCTGAGCGGCTCAGCCCCAGGACCTCGAGCAAACTCTCCACCTGGAGTCATCCCTTGGAAACACAACCGCCTACCTGCCAGCACTTCATCATCGGCCTGCCCACCGTGGGGCATCTCTCCATGGGTGAACACTTCCCACATCAGCACACCAAAGGCCCACACATCAGACTTGGTGGAGAAGTCGCCCT